TCGCTTAATGTGATGTTTACCGTCAGCTGTCACGTGTCCTGGGTAAGTGGACACATGCAAAATTTTATATAAAAAAGGAAGATATATTTCTTAACACTGCCCTATCCATACAAATAAATTTAATGCAGGGGCAAACTGGACATTTATAGTAGTGTTATAATTTGTCGCCTTAGTAATTTATTGCCCATATTACTTACTGTGACACAAATGCCTTACTGCTTCATGCTTGGATGTGTTAATCATTGTTATTAATTCTTGGCACCTATAACATACTGACGATATTCGGTCCGCAAATATTAATCATGTCAGAAAGCGTTCGTTCCGAGCTAAAATTAAGCCGCCAGCAAACCAGCAAACTATGAGTAATAACATCAGATGTTTTCTTCTCCAAGAGCCATAGATGGAGCTGAAATTTTATACCAGAGCCAGGGGTACGTGGTAGAGATGCTGAGATGGTGTTGATTGGTCTAGTCAATAAAACAAAACACTTGGAGGTGGGATTTCAGGTGGGTCAAAAACACATCGTGCGGCCTCGTTTCTTCCACCCGAGCTTTTATCTTTTATCTGGCTGTTGTAGGTTTAGGTTTTGGTCAAATTTCTGGTACCTCAATCTTCCACCCAAATAATGAGAATTGGTTTTGCTTTGTCTGAAGATGGTTAAAGAGAACATAAGGAACATAAACATCGCATTTATGCCAAAATGTTTAACAGGAGTCAATATCACCTAGATGGTTCCAATTAATAACAACGCAAAACTCCGAAATTATTATTGTTGATTTAATTTCTGATTAATTGTATGAGTATTTCAAACAATTAGTTTGTTTTATCAATATACGAGGAAATATAAAATTATACAAAAATATAAAACAAATATTTTAAAATGCTATATTTACCATTGCTATTGATTTTCATTTACATGTAGGCTACAGAACTATTATTAGTACATCTCTGAGCATTCAAAGAAAATATTTAAAGCTATGTATCTTCATGGGTAGTAAGTGTTATTTGCTCAGAATTAAGCACATTTTAACATTAGAACATATTTAAATAAATAATAACAATAAAAACTAACAAAATTAATTCTGTTCTCCAAAAAGTTACTGATATCTAGTTGGACGGCTAGATGAACATCAATTCGGTCCACAAACCTCTCCTCGGGGGCACCTCAGCCATTCCACGTGTTTTTTAAATTTCACCACCAGCTCACTTAATTAAGATAATTAGTATAAAAAGTCAGTGAGGTATTGATTAGCCAAACGAGGTGTAGTTGAGTTAAAAAATATATGTGTGTATACACCCTCAGAAAAAGTGGTAACTGGGACTGTACCCTTGTAATTGTACCTTTTAAGATATAGAAATTCATTCTGAGGAACATCCCAAAATTAAAAACAGCATTAATGTCCTACCAATGGTACAGAAATGTTCCTTAGATTCATTTTCTGTACCTTAAAAGGTATAATTGCCTACAACTAAAGCTACAACTGGCAGGCCCTTTAGGGTACAGCCCCAGTGACAAGCAAATTACACAATTTTACCCTTTTTTCTGAGAGTGTAGGGTGGTTGACTCAAATGCTGGGGTGACTTTCTTTAGCAGACACTTCTGACCAATGAATCTTCCAAATGTGGCAGGTAGCAGATTACAAACATACAACTGTCAAGGAGTTAACCAGGCATAAGTGCAGCTAGGGTGAGCTTCCAGCGGAGGCCCCATTACATGCAGAGAGCATTAGGGTAAGAGCTGTACGGCATCCTTCAAACGAAACAGGAACCCAGTAAGACAACTATTCAAATCAGCAGACAAAATGCAACATTAAGAGCATTCAGGGAAAGTACAGTGATGTCGTCTATCTACCAGAGGTGTTCCTGGAACAGATGGGCCTTGAGGTGCTTCTTGGAGGCGGAGAGGAAATCTGGCGACCAGATGTGATTTGGTGGCTCTTTTCACCACTGGGGAGCCACTCGTGAGAAACGTCTGGGGTGAGAATTTTCACGTGGTGGAGGGATATAACTGTATATGAGTTTGCAAGCTAAAACGCTGAGTTTCTTTAAATTAGAGCTAGATAAAATTTTAAAAACTCTGAGCTATTAAAGTTCTCCCCAAACAAGCCTGATGGGCCAAATCTAGTTTGTAAATGTATGTTCTTATGTTCAAATGATAACTTCAAATATGAATAACTGAGGGCGCAGGGGGTACAAATAACTGAGGGCACAGGGGGTACAAATAACTGAGGGCACAGGGGGTACAAATAACTGAGGGCGCAGGGGGTACAAATAACTGAGGGCGCAGGGGGTACAAATAACTGAGGGCGCAGGGGGTACAAATAACTGAGGGCACAGGGGGTACAAATAACTCAGGGTGCAGTTGCCTCACACTTCCAGCATTGGGGGTTTGTATCCTGTCCCCATTCCCTGTGAAGGTTTCACGTTCTCCTTGTGGTCCAAAGATAAAACAGGAGAATTTGCATCTCTAAATTGTCTCTTGTGAGTGAGCCCTGGATTGACATCCCATCCAGGGTATAGCTCCGCTCTATGCTTTATGCTGCCTGGGAAAGACTCCAGGTCGCTCATGATCCTGACAGAGATAAGCAATTGGACGATGGATGGATGTTAAAGATCCCCAGTGCAATGTGAAAGGGAAACCGGGTAATTAATGACAGCTACACTTACTCAGCAGCTGTTTCCATGGAAACTGTCTCGCTGCAAAAAAAAGGCATTATTTGTTTAGCAGATGCTGTAGGCCAGAGTGATTTACACAGTTTTTATATGTTTCACAAACATAAACCAGGACAATTTACATGTTATATATTACATTGTTCACAGTGATTTGCTTTGACATATTTTACAAATATAAACTTATCAATTTACATTTTTTTGTTTTTTTCCCAAATGACATGCATACGTCACCCAGGTTGTGCAATCCTGAATTTAAAGACAAAATCTAGAAAGCTCATAAATCACAATTAGTGCAGGTCAAAGGTTGCAGAAGACGAAAAAATGAAACGTATTCCATTTAGTATAATTCCCTGCCAAACCATACTCAAGCTGAATGGTGATAGAACTGATAATTTTCCATCTATGGATGACATCGGTCTGTAACTATAACATGCATCTGTTGGGATTATGGGAGGAAAATATATTGGGATGTACCGTAATAACACAAGTCAGGTGCAATTTACAAAACTGCCTGACCTTGAAAACAATGCAGAGACGGCCTCACATTGCCACCTAGCGGTTAAACTGTAAAATACAGGAAATAATGCGAAAGAACTATCAAAAATAGGAAAGACTTTTTAGTCTTATTTGCTTAAGTTAATTTGCTTGATAGAAAAACGCACCTCAAACATTACTAAAATAATTTCATATTATATCTCAACCATGAAAAGTCTACAGTTTCAATCGTCTTCTTCTTCGGTAAAATCTAAATAGCGATTTAAACAACCTCGATGGTGCACACCGCCATCTACTGACCTGGAGTTTAAGCGGTAAATGGAAAGTAAAATTCGATCAGATTCAAATTGTATAACAAACCCAAACACCCACAGAAATTCAGAACAGTCAATAGCCCAAAATGAGCGAGTGCTAAACATCAGCACATGCCATTCATTTCGTCTGCTCCGTCCGCCAAAAGGCGGAACTCACGGGCCGTGCATTCCCCAAATTGATTGGTCTGTTTTTGTCGTTTACTTATGACGACATGGACGAGAGACAATCGTTTTCGATGGTCTAACAACACCCGCCAACAAGGGGATATCTTTCCGCCGCATAATAACCTAATATTCAGAGATTTTGCAACATAAAAATGCAATATTTTTAAAGCTCCAAGTGGCATATACAACAACAGAAATGTAATAGTAACCGTTTATGTTTTAGTTTCTTAAAATTTTGAGCAAAATTTACAAACGGTTCATAGCGGTTTGATATTATGCACCGGTTCTCCACTCGTATGGGCGGAAATTGTAGCGGGACTCTTTCCTGTCGATTTGGTCGGTAAGTTCCAATGTGACCATCTCTCGCAAAAAAATGCTGTAATTTATCCAGTGCGCTGCATTTGGTAATGTTTCGTGGCGTGTTTACTTTGCGATTGAATCTGTAGCACATATATATTTTTCGTTTTTGATATTTGAGCTTCTGTGACTAAGGGATCACTGTTACGTGATCCTCTTGCGAGGCGAGCGGTGCGTGTGCGAGTTGGGGGCGAGGGGGCCCGGACATAACTGGTAGTAATTGCGGGACAGTCTATTGATCGTATGCGTGTGTGGGAATACGGATGCGTCAGTGCTTATACGGTTAGCCGTGGAATAGTTTCTGTTGATTTCGCGAGGACTGATACCGTTCTTGGCACTTGCTTGGAAAGTGCAATGCTGGGTGCTTGTCAGAGAGCAGCCCGGGCTGCTGGCTGGTCTTTGTTAGGCGCCACTGTACGCCTTTGCCAACGCGCTATTATTGCACGCACTTGGGCGACTCCCCTCTCTGCCGTATTATGGCTATTTATTCTACGTTGTGGTACCAGAAATATGCTGCTTTGGTGTTTAGTACTTGATTCCGCTTTAAAGTGCTGATCGTTAAGGTTGGCACAAGTTTTTATTTTTGACGTTTCCTAGCAAAAGCAGCCTTGACCTGAAGAATCTGTGCAAATGTCGTAGCAGCTAGCCTAGTACTTCAGCATCTCCTTTGGCAGCCCGAATGCTGCTGGCTGCAGTCTTGTTGAGGCATCACTGGGCAAGGTGCATGACCCGAATATCCCTGGTAGTATGTCCGGCTGCAAAAACTTCAAGTTCCTTTGAATTAATCCGTAAGTTTAGACCCAGAATGCTGTTGAGAGTTTAAACATATTCGGACAATCGGTGTCATTTTAACAAAATGTTCTCTAAATTTAATTGTGTGAAAATGTGTTTCTGAGTGTAGTTGGCGGACTTCCTGTGCTCTAGGTTTGTGGAGGACATGGATTCCCTGTGAGGCTGCACTTGCTGTCACTGTCCCCACATACACTACTGTGAGTCATGGCATTTGCACCGCCCGCGCCCAGCCCCACCGTGGTGGACCAGACCACCCTCATGAAGAAATACTTGCAGTTTGTGGCGGCGCTCACAGACAACAACACACGTGAGGCACTATCCTTGCACCCTATGTAGATTTCAGGTGGTTTAATAAATGGTTAAACTGAATGATTTTGCAGCCAAAGAGAAGCAATATGATGAGAACATTGTGCTTTAGTCCAGAGCCAGGTACATGTGTGTGTGCGTGCACGCCTGCGTGTGTGTGTGTGCGAGTGTGAGAGAAAGAGATTGTGCCTGATAATCTGGGCGCTGAAAGTAAAACTGATAAGATCTGAGTGCTTCTCTGGAAGTCATAGGCACGTCTAGTAAAGTCCCCCATTTCACCTGAATTGCTGAATTGCTCCTGTCCTCACAGCTGATGAGACCAAGCTGAAGATGATGCAGGAGGTTAGCGAGAATTTTGAGGTATGCCCCCCCCCCGCCCCCCCAGCTGTCTTTCTTGGGGTGTTTAGATGGTACAAAGCCTTTATAAAGTTGGAGCTTCCTGTCGCTTACCTGGTCCTTGCTTCTGCCCAGAACGTGACCTCCTCGCCTCAGTACTCCACCTTTCTGGAGCACATTATTCCACGCTTCCTTACATTCCTTCAGGATGGAGAGGTGCAGTTCTTGCAGGAGAAGCCGGCTCAGGTGAGTGAAGAGCGCTGGGCTGGAAGGAAACCGTGTGTTTGTGTGTTTGTGTGTTTGTGTGTGTCTCACACTTACAAGAGAGTATCCAACCTTCAGCACTTGGTGCTGGTGCTGTTTATGTAGCCATGAGACACCTTTTTCTCTTAACTTCCTATTTTACTTCCTGTCTGTGCTGCAGCAACTGAGGAAACTGGTCTTAGAGATCATCCACCGCATCCCCACCAACGAGCACCTGCGACCGCACACCAAGAATATTCTGTCTGTCATGTTCCGCTTCCTGGAGGTCAGCTGGACTCCGAAGGTGGGGGCTGAGGGCGGGGCCGCCGATGATTGACAGCTGCCTGACCGCGCGTCTCTTCCAACAGATCGAGAACGAAGAGAACGTTCTTATATGTCTGCGTATCATCATTGAGTTGCACAAGCAGTTCCGCCCGCCCATCACCCAAGAGGTGAGCGACACTTTGGATTCGGTTTGCTTTGAATTCAGGATTAGGGTGTTTTTGCAATGACTGTATTATTCACCTGATGTCAATGAATCACAAGCAAATGTTTAGATGTTTCAGGTAGTTTCTGCGTATAAATAAGTGTATTTAATATACTGCATGATGCTGATGTATTATTTGTATATAATTTGCATGCATGGTTTTAGCGTAATATTACTGTAAAAATAACCCATAATTTATGTTTCCTATAGATTCATCATTTCCTTGACTTTGTGAAGCAGATTTACAAGGACTTGCCCAAAGTGGTGGTAAGTTTAGTCATGTGGAGCAGCCATGCTTGGGCTGTCAGGGTCGCTGTCTTCCGCGGAAGGTCATCCAGGGGATATTTTGATTGCTGTCATGATGGAAGGTCATACTGCGATTATCTGGGTCACAGTTGTGATAGAGGGTCACGCTGCATTCACACAGCATCTCCCGCTCCCCTTGCAGGCGCGTTACTTCGAGAACCCGCAGGTGATTGCCGAGAACACGGTTCCCCTGCCGGAGATGGTGGGCATGATCACGTCGGTGGTGGTGAAGACGGCACCCGAGAGGGAGGACAGCGAGACCCGCACGGTGAGAGAGGACCCGAGGACCACTCTGTCGGCACACTCTCGCCCTGCTCTCCTTGACACGTCCCACTCTCTCTCTGTCCGTCCAGCATACCATCATCCCACGGGGGTCCCTGTCGCTTAAGGTGCTGGCAGAGCTGCCCATCATCGTGGTGCTCATGTACCAGGTGAGGACCTCTCGTCAGTACCCATCTTGGGATTACAGCTATGGTTATGCAGGCACTGCCAGCTGCATTATGCTCCCCTGGAATTTCCACTTCCAGCTGCATTATACTCCCTGGAAAGCCCTCAGATTCATTAATTAAGTTAATGTAAAGGATGTAGAGAGACCATCAGGCACAGGTTAAGCTCTCCACTGCAATGGCTGACCACCTTTTCACTTCTCTAGCTGTACAAACTCAACATCCACAACGTGGTGTCCGAGTTCGTCCCGCTGATCATGACTACCATCATGTTGCAGGTGTCTGCACAGGCCAGGTAAGAGCCGGGATTTGACTCTCGGGCCAGCACAGTATTTTTTTTTGGGTGGGGGGGTTGGCGTGTGGCTGCATGGTTTAAGGGTCTTTGCCTGTCTCCAGAAGGTTGTGGGTTTGAATCCCATGGCAGGTACAGTGATCATATCCCTGTTAGGCTCTTGGGCAAGACCCTTAAGCCCCAGAAGTGCTCTCCCTGCCCTCCGACCCCAAGCTTTTCTTTCACCCTTTCCTGTCCCTCATTATCATTATATATGACGACAATTAACAATAATGGTTAGTTGGAAACAGGTTTTATTTACATTCCTGAGGTTTGTCGTCTTTCCAGGCAGCACAAGCTGTACAATAAGGAACTCTACGCGGACTTCATCGCCGCCCAGATCAAGACCTTGTCCTTCTTGGCCTACATCATCCGCATTTATCAGGTAGCGTCCTGTCTGGCTCTACCCCATCCCACTGCCTCATCCCAGCCTGTCCAGGCAGCCCTGACCCTTGTATCCTTCCCTTCTCCCCCAAACCAGGACTTGGTGAGCAAGTACTCGCAGCAGATGGTGAAGGGGATGCTGCAGCTGCTTTCAAACTGCCCGTCTGAGACCGCCCACCTGCGCAAGGAGCTGCTGATCGCCGCCAAGCACATCCTGACCACAGACCTGCGCAGCCGTAGGTCCACGCGCCCGCCACCCAGGCGTCGTTTCGCGGTCGGCGCGCTCCCGCTGTAAATCGACGCCCTCTCATGTGTTACAGAGTTCATTCCCTGCATGGATAAGCTGTTTGACGAGTCCATCCTGATTGGCTCCGGTTACACCGCGCGGGAGACTCTGCGGTGAGATGGTCATGTTGGCTGTTAGAGGTCGTCTGTTTAAACCGGAAAGCGATCTCGCTCCCCCTGGGCGGTTTGGTGTCTAAACCCTGGGCGTGCGATGCTCTGCGCAGAGGATTTGTGTTAGTACAGTGTGTGGCTGCAAACTTGGCAAGCAAGTCTTAGCAGGGGAGAGTTTACCTTGTGTAACACGCCGCATCCTGCCCCTCCTCCAGGCCACTGGCCTACAGCACGCTGGCTGACCTTGTGCATCACGTCCGGCAAAATCTGCCCCTCGCCGACCTGTCTCTCGCCGTCCAGCTCTTCGCCAAGAATATCGACGACGAATCGTTGCCTAGCAACATCCAGACCATGTCCTGCAAGCTGCTCCTGAACCTGGTGGACTGCATCCGCTCCAAGAGCGAGCAGGAGAATGGCAACGGTCGTGACATTCTCATGCGCATGCTGGAGGTACAGGGTGCGGGG